TGTTTAACGAGACTAACGGAAATCAATTGTAAAGATTAACTAGATAGGTACGCAACATGTTTCAAATAACGATATGTTTAACGAGACTAACGGAAATCAATTGTGAAGATTAACTAGGTAGGTACGCAACATGTTTCAAATAACGATATGTTTAATGAGACTAACGGAAATCAATTGTAAAGATTAACTAGATAGGTACGCAACATGTTTGAAATAACGATATGTTTAACGAGACTAACGGAAATCAATTGTGAAGATTAACTAGGTAGGTACGTAACATGTTTCAAATAAAGATATGTTTAACGAGACTAACGGAAATCAATTGTAAAGATTAACTAGGTAGGTACGTAACGTGTTTCAAATGACGATATGTTTAACGAGACAAACGGAAATCAATTGTGAAGATTAACTAGGTAGGTACGCAACATGTTTCAAATAACGATATGTTTAACGAGGCAAACGGAAATCAATTGTGAAGATTAACTAGGTAGGTACGCAACATGTTTCAAATAACGATATGTTTAACGAGACTAACGGAAATCAATTTTGAAGATTAACTAGGTAGGTACGCAACATGTTTCAAATAACGATATGTTTAACGAGACAAACGGAAATCAATTGTGAAGATTAACTAGGTAGGTACGCAACATGTTTCAAATAACGATATGTTTAACGAGACAAACGGAAATCAATTGTGAAGATTATCTAGGTAGGTACGCAACATGTTTCAAATAACGATATGTTTAACGAGACAAACGGAAATCAATTGTGAAGATTAAGTAGGTAAGTACGCAACATGTTTCAAATAACGATTTGCTTGCCTAAATATTGTGTAGGTATTTTATTTTTCACCACGAATAATAGTGAGCAAAAAAAAACACGAAAGGAAAATCGCTTTCACTCACGATAGTCAATGGATAGCACTCGTTTTCAGCTTTTACTCGCACGGGATTTGATTTTGAATTTTTTATACTATTTGTTAGGAAATAAGTAAGTGATGTTCTACGGGAGTTGTGGAAGCTACAATTTTTTTTTAGAATAAGCCTGATAAACGTACAGTTCACCTTATGGTAAGTTGATTCTGTGGCCTGTACATAATATCAATGACTATTCTGGGTTAAGAAACAATATACATATGCGTTCTGACTTCTGAGGACAAAGATGTAATGCGCGGTCTCTAGTAAATAAGATCTCCGGTTCTCTAAACTCACCATACGAAACAGCAGTATTGTGTTGCTAGAGGTATATCTACACGTAGGTATTCTGTGAGCGCTTGCTCCTTCCCCGGTCGAGCTGAGTCATTCGTGCTACAAAGATAATATTGCTGCAGTTTGGCTCTACCACGTGTTAAGCGTGTGGTCGACTCGAGCGGGGAAGGATCACGCTCCCACAGAATACCAGTGCGAAACTGTGTATCGTATGTTGGGTGCCGGTGATTGGTGCCCTTTTTACTACTAACACGGCTTTGCACCTTATTCTTATAAAAAAAAGGCTTATTTCGTGAACACAGTGTTTGTAAACGCCACGGGATCTTGTATTCACTCACAGAAGATTTTGCACCGACAGTTATTGACAGAGTCAATGGGTGCGTTCGGCAGAAAAAAGCGCTAGCAAGCGCTTGTAAGCAAAATGGCGATCGTAAGCGGTAAGCGCTGTCAAATCGTAAGTAGCTATTTTCCTCCAGGACACGATGTTAGTTTTAACCGGGGAATCTAACCTAATTTAAATATATGTTTATAAAGTATTTATATTAAAAAACTTACCAATCATGATTTTTAATAGCATGTATATGTTTATTCATGTCATTATATTACTTAAAACTAATATTGCACAAAACAACTTATAAACTCTACTTCAAAACAAATAAATTAAATAAGCAAAATGGCGGATTGTGTCAGCGCTACTGAAGTAGCAATCGTGTCCTGGCCGAAAACTATTTTAGCGCTTATAAGCGCTTGCTAGCGCTTTTTTCTGCCAAACGCACCCAATAACTGTCGGTTGTTTGCAGCGACGCAGCGAGGCGTTAGTGTTTAGCCTGCACACAGGCGTGCGCTTGTTTTATTTGTGCATCGTCGCATTTAGTTACACATGCTTTATAAAACAGAGTAGACACTCTCACATATTTATTCGTTGTAACAATCATTTAAAATAATAAAAGAAATTAATAAAAAATAATAACTTTTTTTAAAACAAAGTCCAGTAGATTGTGTAGCAACAATATGGCTATCAATTCAGTACTTCAGATAATACAGCAATTTTATATTAATAAGCATCTACGAACTGTCACATGGAGTGTCGGCCGCTCCCCAGGCATAACACTTTGCCCGGCGGGAGATCTCTCCTTTTCTTTCCACTGCCACAGTAGTATAGTTGTAGCACGAATGGGTCGGCTCGACCGGGGAAGGACCACGCTCTCACAGAATACCAACTTGAAATGGTATCTTGATGCTGCTGTCTTTCGTATGGTGAGTGTAAAGAACCGGAAACCCTTTTTACTGGAAACGAGGCGTTCCATCTCAGTCCTCACGGGTGACAACGCGTCTGCATTTTGATTTGTAATCGCGTATAGATGTAGATGTGTATGGGCCGCAGCGACCACTAACCATCAGGTGGACTGTGTGCTCGTGTGTCACCCTATCCTATAAAAAAAAGTTTGCTGCAATAGTATCGTACCGGTGCGCTGGACTGTTAGTTTGTAACTCTTCATTTTAATTTTATATAAAAAATTGTCAGACACTGTACCGTAAAATATTTCATAGACATTTATATCTTTGTTTTTCCGCGTGTGAGGCAGCTTTAGCATTTGCACAGAATAAATAATACTCTTATTATACAACGTAGTATTCGCAACGCATCGCACCCGCCGCTGCTCCCCAGCGCATAGCGCACAGTGCACGTCTAGAGTAGCGAAAACAGAAGTTTTATTGCATTCGTAACTATATAATGCATGTTATTCTTTTTTGTTTGCACATATTAGTGATTCATTTAAATTCATCCACTGCTGGGTACAGACCTCTACTTATTTATTTATTACTTCGCTCTATAAATTCTTTTTTATAAAACATTCCATTTCATGATATTTAAAAAAAATAGTAATGCTATTAATATTAATATTACTAGTATTCCCCTAAACCACTCCTGGTAAGCTTATAAACACTTGTGTTAGGAGTGGTTAACGACAGTAGTCGAATGGCGAAGTCGAACCCACGACCTTTAAGTTCGAGAGTCCGCACCCGGCTATTATCATCATGTCAAAAGTAATAAAAATAGTTAACAAATGAGTAAATTAAACAATATTAAATAGTGTAAGATGCCGCTGCATAATCAGTACAACATTCATTACGTCGTGAGTCAATCACACATTTTTACATATTACGTTTATGAATAGAATACACTGATAACACCGCAGATAGTCAAAAGTCGTTTAATTGAATCAATGTTAATTAATATTCGAAAAAATATTCGTTCACTTATTTTTAAATAAAATATTTATTTATTTTTAAAAAAGTATTTTGATAAATATAACTACTGACATAATATATACTTTAAAGTATAATTAGGAAACAAAAATATAATTGAAAAGAGAAAGAAAAAATTATTAGAGGGCTCGTCCACATCATAACAATGCATGTAAATAATTCTAAAATCCATAGGTGCCGTTGCACACCCGGTCGCAACTACCTCGCAGCCAAGTGTAAGCAGGCAATATTTTGATCTATTTATACGTTCATGACTTACACGGATGCTTTTTGTATCAAATTAAAGATAATTTTTTTTTAATACGTTGATATATGGCTGCCTGTGAAAAATAGCCACAAATTAGAAGTGTTATCTGTTAAAAATGCGAGATATCCGAAAATGTATTTCTTAGGTTGACTATAGTACAGTTTCCTTCGCGGTACTCTTGATTTAAGCAGGCAACGTTGAGGATAATTTAGGGCAGTGATAGTTTACGAGAAGGTTCGTTACGCTCATATATACTTTAGGGTTGCATTGCCGGGAATTTTTAGATAGATCGTCCAACTATGACCACTTTTGTACGGATTGGGCATGTAATGGTTTGATGTAGATTGTATTATTTTCAAAATCGAAAAGTTTTTAATATGTTTTGAATGTCACTCCAAGTCTGTTTGGAAAATAAGTCCTACAATTACCATGGTGTTATTTAGGTTCATTTTTGGTCATTATAGCGATCTAACGCGAACTCACTCGATTAATAATGCTTATCATCAAGAAAGTCCACGTATTGTGATTGTGACGGACAACTACGGAACCCTGCCTCTACGTTGTGCGCGGTCCGACAGGCACTCGGCTGGTTTTATTAATACTACTACTAATACATGAGATTAATGTTAAGGTGTTGACATTCCACTAGTAATAGATCAGGATCGAGCTTTGTGATGATCTATGGGAGGGGGTGATATGTCTGCCAGTCCTAATATCGGAGCACTGCGACCATCGGCTAGTCTAAACCGAGACTAACGTCTACGCAGGGCAGAGTTATAGTGCACGAGTGTGTGTATGTTGTATGCGTGTGTGCGCAGTACAGGTGCACTCTCGAAGCTACGAGAATAATATAGGAACATAGATACACTATAGGCAGTTAGAATCCATTACTTTTATTACTGGCAAGTTCTGGGCAAGTATATATAAGTTGAAGAAAGTAGCCACTAAAAATTTGTGTTGCACAGCGACTTCCAGAGCTTCGGAAATACTTTTGCAAATGGTGGTCAACGTATGTATAAAAAAGAAACGTATTAAAAGGAAAATTTCCGATGAATTTACTTTTTTGCAGTGACCCATTAAGTATTTAGAATCTTATTTTTTAATATAGTTGCTGCAATAAATGCATTTAATAAATAAAATAATCCTAGATTGTTTATTTTGGCATCTAAAACATTGATGTTTTCGGACATCGAGACTTTGAATCGTGAATTTTTTAATATGTGATGTATTTCTAATATCGATTATCCGTAGTGAGTGGGTGTGTTTGTGTGCAGGCCGATCCGAGGCATGTCGGTGGTGGTGGCGGGCGCGGGGCCGGCGCACGCGTGCTTCTTCGCGACCTACGAGCATAGCAAGCACACGCTCGGACACCTCACACGACACCGGCATGAACACATCACGCACGGTGAGTGCTCTCTCTAATTACATAGCAGTGACGAGCGAACTGACAGTCCACCAAGTGATGATAATGAACACGCTCTCACAGATTGCCTGATGCTGCTGTGTTTTGTATGGTGAGTGTAGAGAACCGGAAACCCTTAAATATTAGGTATTCTATATTAGTGCTCAGAGGTTACAACGAATCTGCATTTTGATTGTTAATCGAGGATAAATGTAGATGTCTGTAGGCAGCATCAACTTAACATCAGGTGGTCACCCTTGTTCTATAAAAAATGTACATGGACACCTTGATCGAATTATTTTTACGGGTTTAAAATCTTACATGGATTATTAAAGAGATGGAATAAAAATTTTATTTTTGCAAAAAAAAATATTAATTTATATTATAAACTAATTTTCAGCCAGATATGGCTTCGTATGCATTTAGGGAAAAACTAGTTTATGCTTCATGAAATTCATATAACAATTGCGTTTGTCATTATAACACAAAAACACATTACATTTTTCACATAATGTGAAAGAACGAAATTTCGAAAAATTTTGGCATAATTGTCGCGCGTTCTTCTTCCAAATTAGATAACGGGCAATCCCATCAGAATGCACCGACTCCAAAGGCATGTTTTTTTTTATAGAATAGGGGACAAACGCGCACACAGTCCACCTGATGGTGAGTGGATGCCGCAGCATGACAGATAGTAGATGTCTATGGGCCACAGTCCATTAGTGACATCTACATTTAACCTCGATTAAGAATCAAAATGCAGATGCGTTGTCACCCCTGAGGACTAAGATGCAATGCGTCGATTCCAGTAAAAAGGGTCTCCGGTTCTCTACACTTATCATACGAAACACACAGGGCTTAAGGCTGTTAATGGAGGCATTAACATAACAGCCTTGAGCCCTATTAATAAATAGCTGTAGTCGTATTAACTATTATGAGGGGAGTTCAATTAATTCTCGATATGGTTATGTTAGAAAAAAAATAAAATTATGGAATATGTTTTGACATAATGCATAAATATGCATGACATCATACATTTACTAGTTCGTGAAAAAGCTTTTTTTGGGGTTTTAAACATTGCACGTCACCCGGCATGCATTGACGCGCATGGAGCATTCCCGGCACCCATCTTGCGTTGACTTTGGTGAGGTTTGGGATAGTGATGCAATGTGGTGTGTACGGTACTTACGGAGAGGTTAGTCATTTCTAATAACGTCTTAATTCTTACTCGTGCTTGTTAATCCCCTAATACGAGTTTTTCAATAATTTCCCCCTTTTTCTTCTGTAGCCGCTGTGATTGCTCTTTGGAATTCACTTGATAACTTCTGTACAGTTGACATGGAAGGAGCGGAGTCTTAGTAAACGGCCACCATTTCTCATAGATTTTTCCTCGTGTTTTTCCTTGTTGCGTGAAGAATTTAAATCATTGCACGGTGTTCGATATATTTCAACATTGCCGACTCAGTCATTACCGTCCTCTATGTCTGAAAATTACATAAAAAGCAATAAAGTTATGAAGACGAAATTTCGTATTTATGCTCACAGGTAGTGTCGTTAGCTAATGAATTGTTTTAACTACCCACATTATTAGCAAATCACCCCGACACCGAGAACATATTGTGCGCCCCTCGTAGTAGTTGAAGTTATGTAAATGGTTAGTTAGTAGTAAATTTATTAGTTTATTTCATATTTATTGCTTACTGCTTATTTGTAGAGATACAGTTGTACAAATATAAATAAAGACTAAACTATAACTAGTCGAGCTGTCGCGCCATCATCGTTGCTGATTGCAGTTGTATCGCTGTAATGTCATGTAATTCTGAATTTCTCTTTCGTAGTCGTCTACAACAATTTTGTTTGTTTTCGCAATCATATGGCCCAGTGGTCCCGTGTGTCCTGTTCCGGCGGATCCTACATGACAGATTATGAGGCGCCCACCTTTTCCCACGGGCACGTGTCATCTGTACATGTCCGCCTCACAGTGTTGTTGGCGTCTAGCCATGTTTCATCAATGAATGTAATGTGTCCCTATTGGGTTGTATTTTTAATTTCTCGTAAAATGTTACTCTTTGTTTTCTTCATGTCTCTAAATATCAGTTTTTCAATTTTTGTTTGTCAATTTTTTGTTTATCTGAAGCCAATTATTTTTTTAATGATTCTAAATGATTGTACTACCACTGTAAAAGTCGGCATCTTTTAAGCTCACTCGTGCACAACTTCACCACAGTGGTATTCACAAAAATCACAGTAAAATAGAATTAATTTATGCAACACTTTAAATAAAAATTTAATAAACAAATAATAAATAAAAAATGTAAAGGTTGAATTATTTTCAATAACAATAAATTTATTCATAAGAAATATGATACAAAGATGATTTGAATATTTTGACCGATTATCGTTCTTTTCTAAGATTTAATCGTAGTAGATTTTGACGTTTTATAAGACTATAAGTAAGCCACGACTGCCATTCATATTTAAAAGTAATAAAATACAGAAATTAAAAGGCATTTCATCTTAGTCCTCGTAGATGACAACGCATCTTACCATAAGGTGGATGTGTATACATGAATAGCGCATTCATATTTCAGTCGTTTTAAATGTGATTTCATACGTTCCAGGTCTGTCAGGCTGCTTGGCATCACTCGTACATGACGCTGTCTCAAATCCAACGGAAGGTGAGTCCTGTTCGAGAACTTCAACTTTTTACTCCGTGAGATGGAAAACGGGTAATACGTTTGTAATCGATTTATTGGTAGTTGTGATCTAGCTACAAAAGAGGAAACAGACCGCGGTTGTGTCGCTGTTATTGTACTATCGTAGCAGTGCCCTCTGTGTACGTACCGTGAAGTAAACCCGGTGTCGGTTAAAGAAACACAGTTATTAATTCCCTGTGAAACCCATATAAGTTTGAGGATAATGATTTCTTAAATTTACGCGAACACTACACATTGAATAAAACTAAATTTACGGATTTTATCGCGTTTATTTCACTACTTTTACTTATTTTTAATTCCCGACGTTTCGGGTGCTTTACAGCAACCATGGTCACGGGGGGGACTGAGATGTTTGACGTCCCAATGTCATAGTTAGTCCGGCTACCTTCAGTTTTTGAATATTAATATCGGAATCGATTCAAGTTTTTGAATATTAATAATAAAACTCAAAATATTAATATTCAAAAACTGAATGGGTTGACATTGGGCCGTCAAACATCTCAGTCCCCCCCGTGACCATGGTTGCTGTAAAGCACCCGAAACGTCGGGAATTAAAAATAAGTAAAAGTAGTGAAATAAACGCGATAAAATCCGTAAATTTAGTTTTATTCAAAGTTTGAGGATAATTTTGTGGACATATACTGGATGAATTGAAGTAGATTTCATAGTGATTATTTCATGATGTATTTTAAATTATACAACAATAGTACAAATTCTGCATTATTCGACTGCGTTTTTGTTGTAAGATGTCGGATGAGGCTTCTATGAAATTCATTTGTATAATTAAGTATTATAAACCGGATTACTAAAATTCTTAATTTTACTAAGTCATAAACTAAAGGAATTTATCAACAAAGTTTTTTCATTCGCTAAAGGCACATAAATAGAGGTGTCTATGGAATTGAAAAATGGTAACAACCTTATAAAAGAAAGAAGGTGAGAATAATACACTTAGATATCTTACTTTATACCAAGTTGAACGTCATGATGTATAATGAGTTCAGCTGTAAGAATTTTGTTCTCATTTTTGGACTCTATGGTAGTAATTACTCTGAGGACTTATCGGTGATATGAAATGTCAGTTTTTTGTGTTGGTTTTTCAACTTGGTATATTTGTTAGTAAAATTCAAGATCGTTTCCGGTATAGCCGACCGTGCGACAAATTCACTTCGGTATAAAGAAGACTGACTTTAGAATTATTTTAGTGGCGCCATTTCATCGCACGGTGCGGTCAGTCCTTACTAATATATAAGTCAATGATTTGAATGATTAGATCGAGATCGAAAGTTGTAATCGCACAATCACTACGGCACGCACACGCAAGAACATTGTTGGATGTGCCCAGCTCGTCGGTCGCCTGATATCGTGCTGTCGGTGTCGTAGGCGAGACAACTTGAACAGGAGACAGGCAACAGGCATCTTCCTGATAATAACCTAATAATAATAAAAAGCTGCGGCTGCCAATCCTTTGCTTTTTAACTGGTAATCTATAGGGTAGTCCTATGTTTAGCAGTCGAATATTTATAGGCTAATGGGATCGAACCCGCGTTACATACTGTAAAATTTACAGCTTGCGCTAACCATCTGAGCTACCACGGCTTAATCATATACACACACACAATATTTAAATATAATTTGTTAACACTAAATCATACACACGTAAGAAAATAACAGAAAGAAAAGTAAGTGTGTCAATAGAATAAACACTTAAAATTGCAATTAACAATTTAATTGGTGTCGGCGGGGATCGAACCCGCGTTACGTACTGTAAAATTTACAGCTTGCCTCGTCGGTCTAGTGGTCGTAAACGAGATTCATGAGGTCCCGGGTTCGAATAGATAACAAACCAAAATCAGTTGCCCGGAGTCGGGAAGTTGGCGGCGTTTTACCCCCGTCCCTCCGAAAGCGCGTAAAGCCGTTGGTCCTGCGCCTGATCTCTCTCCGGTCGTGCCGAATTGCCGTTGCATTGGACTATGAGAGTGAAGGAATAGAGAGTGCTTCTGTGTTTGCTCATACGTTCAGGCACTATAATCTTACCCTGCGTAGATGGCTCGTGTACTTTGAAACTGGCCGCCGTGACTGAAGTTCGGTCTGGACGGCATTATGAACTACAGTAGAAGTCCGATAATCCGGCACGTTCGGGACCGGCTCGGTGCCGGACTACCGAAAATTCCGGTCTATTGGGCGGTAATTATAAGAACAATTAGGTTAATAATTAAACTACAATACAGTATGCAAATATGTATGTATGTACATACAACAAAGTTTATTTTACATTTCATATACATAATGTATGTACACGTACTGTAAAACATATTTCATTTAGATTTAAAAAAAGCCGACCGCTAACTACGTAATTGTTTCTGAACAATACCAAGCGCTTCCGGATGATCCCGAACTATCCTGAAAACTTCCGAATAGCTCTCGAGCGTTTTTATTTGCTTTAAAGACACACTTTTGGTGAAAACCGAAAACCAAAGAGCGATACCGGACTATCAGGCGTTCCGGACTGTTGAATGCCGGACTAATGGACTTCTACTGTATTTTTTTGTAGATGGCATGCTCAGAGTAGCTTGCTACTCCACCACTAGTCTTGTGTTCGAATCTTACGTATAATTAGCAAGCAGTAGGATACATTTTCTAGGAAGGATTCCGTCTGAGTGTGTACCTTCTTATCTATTTCTGCAATGTTCCGTTCTGAAGGATATTTTTCTACGAAAATGTAATGTATGTACACAAAAATATAAGTAGGTTAAGTAAAATAAGTGATGTTTACTCGCTAAATACTAGGTACAGGCACAAGCTAGTAGTATCAGTTACTCGACTCCATAGAGTCAGTAATTCAGTCTTGGGACGAGGTATACGCTTTTACAACAAAATCTCAGAAAACTTACAAATTCTGACTTTCGGCAATACTTTTTTTTTCAATTTTTAATATAGATTGTTACATTACGTTTCGTACGTAGTAGAACCACGCTACAGCTGTGTTGTGGTTATTGCACGAATGGGTCGGCTCGACCGGTCAAGGACCACATAGCAGATTAATGCTGCTGTTTCGTTTGCTGAGTGTAGAAAACCGGAGTGTATGGGCCACAAAATCCATTTAACATCAAGAGGACTTGATAGAATCAGGCGTTACTTTGCGGAAATCCATTATAATAAAAAATAAAAAAGTGAATAGGAAAGTTGCAAAGAAATTTATATTTTTATTTTTTATCAAGAGGACTGTATGCTGTTTGTCACCTTATTCTGTAGAAAAAGTAATACTTATTGGAAGTAAATTTTTCATTACTATTGTTTTAAAAATACCTCTGTTCTGGTAAGAATCAGCAAGAAACCCAGTGTGATTATTTTTATAAAACATTTAACTTTACAATAATTTCGTACAATTTTTTATATGAATTATAATAGCACCGGCATGTAAGTGATCGCTAAGCGCTATATAATAGAACCGCGGTTGTTAAAGCGCGGTCGTGTCTAACTCTCACACAATGGAGCAAGTAGCACTTCCTGAGTTGGAGCGATAGTTGTGCCTCGCTAGCGATGTCATATCGTTTTTGGTTGCATCGTCTATGACTATGACATGGACGGTAGTTTCGTATTATCTCTCTATAGAATAGGATACAATCATTTTTATTAAGTATATATTACAAGGAAACTTATTGAAAGTTACGTAAGCTAGTTTAAAAAAAAATCTCTGTCCTGGGAAGGACCAGCAAAAAACACACCGGGACTTTTTTAAATATTAATCTATATAAATAAATATCTAGTGCCGCATGTATAAAAGATCATCACTGAGAACGGCTGGACTTTTTTATGATGAGTGCTGCTGCTTGAGTGAGTGGTTTAGATTCCTATTGAATTGAATTCGGTAGGTGGTACTGTTGTCAAGATTTCGGAATCACTCGTGCGAAGCCGGGCCGGCTCGCTAGTGTACAATATAATTTTTAAAACAATGAGTTATGAAAACGATTAGAAACAATATGGTAGCGATCACCTATATCTATACGTGGTAGAGCCACGCGGCTGTTGTATTATGGTGGTAGCATGAATGGGTCGGCTCGACCGTGGAAGGACCATGCTCTCATAGAATACCAGCGTAAAATAGCAGGTTTCGTATGGTGAGTGTAGACATCCAGAGAGCATTTTTATTGGAAACAAGACATTCCGTCTTTGTCCTCAGGGGTGACAACGCATCTGCATTTTGATTCTTAATCGAGGATAAATGTAGATGTCTATGGGCCACAGCAATCACTCACCATAGCTTAGAGTAGCGCGGCAACTCATAGTTAAGCGACTACGACACAGAGCCGTCGAATAAAAATTTTCCTTGTCAAGCAACCAAATATATATATTGTCCAAAGTCTTAATATATCGAATTTTTATTTTGGTCCACATTAGGTGTACGTAAATTTAATCCCTAATGAAAAGTACGCGAGTAAGAGACATTGTAATTAGTTATGTAGACAGTTTGGTGTTACGGTAAATTACGGCTACGTTATATTTTCATTTAATTGTAAAATGTTAAGGTTAATCGGTCAGCCGAGGGTAATGTATTCCACATTGTTTCCAGTTAATAATATCGAATTGCATCACAACATTAACTTTTAGTTACTTAACTTTTTGTGGGTGTCTGTGTGGTGTGTCTGGACGCGCGCGCTTGTGGTTTATATTAGTGCCTTGGTAGCTCACGAGCTAGGAGTTTTGAGTGGTCTCTTATATTTAAGCTAACATTAAATATAATTAATATGGATTTTATCGTGTTTAATTTTAATCACCTATGGTGACGAGGGGGCGGGGTGGAAGGGCTGAGGTGTTTGACGTCCCGATGTCCATAGGCTAAATAACACGATTATACGCGATAAAATCTGTGAAATTAGTTTCATTTAATGTGAATTACAATTTAAAGTTCTGATTCTCGACGTGATCTGGCGTAATGGAAAACATCACGAGGAAGCCTG